ATGCATAGTGGGTGGTGGGCAGTAAACAATGGTTTTTAAATGAAGGCCCAGGTAGGGGCATTAGGTGGAAGTGCACAAAGGAGAGGAAAATGGGAGACATCTGTAATAGTGTCAACAACAAAATGAAATGTTCAATAATCTTGTTGAATCGTCAATGAGCATTTTCCTCCTCTTTAAGAGCTACCCGAGCCTGTGTCATAGTCTTGGGATTGAGACAAATTATCTTTTAAGAGTAAATTAAATTTGTGACAATAGCAAGTGACTCAGTCAATGTGGTTTCCAACGTGAGTGATCAAACTAACATTGTTTTAGCAATGGAAAAATAACGGCTATAATGAACCGCCTTGAGGGGCAATTCTGAGGAATAAAGTGCGTCTGGATGTGTAATTTAACATACCACTGCTCATGGCTCCATCCTTGCACTCCCCTCCCTGCCTGAGGCTCCTCGGCCCTCTCTGCAGCCCCTACCAGCCAGAAAGAGCAGAGATGCATCTTCCTCTTACAACAGAAACAGAGCAAACCAGCACATGAGAAGCACATATCCGTGGCCTCTCGTCACTGCACAGTGTCCATGGCAGAGGCATGTGGATTCACTCCAAAGGTTCCTCCTTCTGTGTCCAAGGAGGGAATAGGGTGGGGCAGAGAGTGATGGACCATGTGTGCTTCCACAGGAACGCCTAGGGCTGAGGGGTCGAGGGGCCGGCCAAGGTGAGGGCCTGCATGTCCAAGTGCCAAAAGGCCTAAGCTCATTTCAATGGTTTATTGGCTATTTGTTCTCACCACTTGAATTCTTAGCATTTCCTTTAGTTTGATTCCCCTATACCCGTGGTCGGCAAACTACAGCTCTCGAGCCACATGCAGCTCTTTGGCCCCTTGAGTGTGGCTCTTCCACAAAATACCACGGCCTGGGCAGGTCTATTTTGAAGGAGTGACGTTAGAAGAAGTTTAAGTTTTAAAAATGTGGCTCTCCAAAGAAATTTCAATAGTTGTCCTGTTGATATTTGGCTCTGCTGACTAATAAGTTTGCCAACCACTTCCCTATATCTTTCCTAAGCTTTGCTGCTTTTGCTATGAACTTGATAATGGGGCCTGTGGAATAGTCACAGCACATGCTCTGTAGATTGAGCCGGGCCCAGAGTCAAACCCTGGTGCTGCCAACCTTTGGCCGTAGGCCTATAGAAGGACAGGTAACCTGCCTAAGCCTTGGTCTCCTCCTCTAGAGCAGCGTTTTTCAACCGCTGTTCCGCGGCACACTAGTGTGCCACGAGATGTTGCCTGGTGTGCCGTAGGTGCAGACAAGACAAGAATTTTATAATTTTTAACTATTTTGTTTACTTAATATTTCATAATAAAGTAATTATAAAATACTTTCTTTGTGTTTATTTGATTCCTATTCAAGAGAATTACTTTATATATAGTCAATATAGGCACAGAGTTAAATTTTTTAACATTTTCTAATGGTGGTGTGCCTCGTGATTTTTTTCATGAAACAAGTGTGCCTTTGCCCAAAAAAGGTTGAAAAACACTGCTCTAGAGGATGAGGTGGTGAGGGTGCCCGTGCCGTGGGGCTGCTGCCAGTGTGCAATACTTTGCACTTGGTGAGCTGTTCGCAGCTCTGAGTCTTTCCTTCCCTCCGTTGTTTCCTCCCCTGATGGTACTACGTCACCGGCTTCCTTCACCGGCTCAGCAGATGCTTGTTCTGCTTTGTCTCTAAAGCTTCACGCCAGACCTTTCCCCTGCACTGGGCCTGATCATAACTGATCTCTCCCTTTTCATTCACTGCCACATGTATTTTTCTGCCTTCTCTTCTCTTAGCAAAAAAAAAGAACCTCTGATGTACTTAGTGCCATATCTGACCCATTCCATGTGTGTGTGTGTGGGGGGGGGGGGGGCAGTCTCCAGTGCAGCAGCTTCCTCCAGCTGTGCTGTGTACACCGTCAGCTTTGTTTCTAATCGGCCAGAAGTGCCGCAATAAATTAGCTCAGGCTGCCGTGCTTTTCTGGCCCAGTAGCCCTTCCGAATATTGATCTTCTCTGTAAATGTTGTAATTTGAATGCAGAGTCCTTTGCCCTCGTCAGAGGCTGTTAATGAATCCCCAGCTGGAGCCTAATGCTGACAGCTGCAGACTCGGCCATTCTTCTTCGGAAACTTCATCACGAATGATGTGTTTTCCATTTAGATATTGAGTAGCACGCACCACGCTAAGCTGAGCCGAGGCTTTCTGGAGCAGAGCTGGGTGTCAAGCAGCCCAGAGAGCCAGTTGGACTTGCCCTCATCCTCCAGCTGGCCCTCTCTCTTCCGTTAATTCATTTCTGCCTCCTCCTCCTTCTTTTAATTAGAAGAGAGGACCTGGATATCTTAGCACCAGAGTTTATCCTTTTGTCGTCGTCGTCAGATGCCATCTAATGTAGGCACAGAGCAGACGACTCCTTGACCCAACATAATGAGCAATTGTGCGCGTCATCCCAAATGCGATGCTGGTATAAGGTACGCATTGCTCTGTTTAACAGAGCGGTGTAGACTGCCTTCAACGCGCTGGCACTATGGAGAGTACATGATGATTATACACACTCTTCTGACATCTAGAATCGATGGTTTAATAAGGGTGCAAGAGCAGTGTAAGTCTACCTGATACAAGACAGAATGCAGTGCCACAACAAAAAATTATGAAGTGAAAAGAAAAATTATGAAAAAATTAAGTGCAGCTCAGTAAAAAAAAAAAAAAAAACTCCCAATTTTCTAGGGAAATAAATTTTAACTACATTTAGGGACATACAATTTAAGTCCAAAAAGCTAAAATTTTCTGTACATCTAAAACATTAAAATGAAAAGATAACAGTGCCAAATTGGGGGTGGCAGAGGATTTGGAGACATATATAAAGAGGTCTTAGAAATTTAGAAGAATACTACAATTGAGAAGTGGGCAATGGACATAAAAAGAAAATTCACAAAGAAGAAATATATAGTGATAACTGAGAAAAATGTTCTAAAATAGATTCAGAGACATAGAAGCATGCAACAGACTGTGGAATCTCAGAGGGAAGGCAGAGTTGGGTGGGCAGGTAGGGAGAGATCAACCAAAGAACTTGTATGCATATATGCACAATGATGGACACAGACAATAGGATGGTGAAGCTTGGGTGGGCTAGACAGGGTCAATATGGGCAAAAAGGGGCATACTTGTACATAATACTTTCAACAATAAAGATTTAATTTTTACAAAGAAAAATTAAATATATGGTTTTTACAATGGTTTTTAAATGAAGGCACAGGTGGGGGCATTAGGTGGAAGCGCACAAAGGAGAGGAAAATGGGAGACATCTGTAATAGTGTCAACAACAAAATGGGAGACATCTGTAATAGTGTCAACAACAAAATGAAATAACCAAGCCTTAGCCGACTTGGCTCAGTGGATAGAACATCAGCTTGCAGACTGAAGGGTCCCAGGTTCAATTCCAGCCAAGGGCACATGCTTGGGTTGTAGGCTCAAACCCCATGCAAGAGGCGGCCCACCAATGATTCTCTCATATCACTGATGTTTCTCTCTCTCTCCTTCTCCCTTCCTCTCTGAAATCAATAAAGAAATCTTTTTTAAATGGTCAATTATCTATAATAGATATCAAAAAAATTAAAACCATAATATTTTCAACCATTGAATAAGCAAACTTAAAAAATAATAATAATAAGACTTTCCTTGGCCAGTGTCGCTCAGTGATTAGTGTTAGCCTGCTCACCAAAGGGTTGCGAGTTCAATTCCCGTCAAGAGCACATACCTGGTTTGCCATTTTGATCCCCAGCCACTATCAGGGTGTGTGGGAACAACCAATTGATATGTCTCTCTTCCATTAATCTCTCTCTCTCTCTCTCTCTCTCTCTCTCTCTCTCTCTCTCCTTCCCTCGCTTTCTCCCTCCCTCCCTCCCTTCCACTCTCTCTAAAAATCAATGGAAAAAATATCCTTGGGTAAGGACTAACAATAAACACAAGACTCAATGTCAACAAGGGTGAGGGCAAGACTCCCCTCTCTGCTGGAGGCAGGAGTTCAGCTAGGCCAGTGGTCTGCAAACTCATTAGTCAACAGAGCCAAATATCAGCAGTACGACGACTGAAATTTCTTTTGAGAGCCAAATTTTTTAAACTTCTTTGAATACCACTTCTTCAAAATAGACTCACCCAGACTGTGGTATTTTGTGGAAGAGCCACACCCAAGAGGCCAAAGAGCCACATGTGGCTCATGAGCCGTGGTTTGCCAACCACGGTGCTAAGCAGATACAACCCATAGGAGAGATGAGGGGATAAGGATCCATGGACATGTAGTTTATTGATGCTCATTACATGCCTAAGTCATCAGGATACGCAAGAAATTTGCAGTAACAAAATTCAAACCATAGAAGCTTAACATGAACCCTTTCACCTCATACACACTCATATTTTGTTGACATGGCAAACCCCACCGCCAAAACTTGCTTCAAGCCCTTCCTCCAAATTGGGGTAAGCTAGACCCTAAGTTGCCCTACCTCTAATTACCATTAGTTAATTTGAATATGGAATTTCTCATGATAATATCATTAAGACAAGACGAGGACACAGGAGGTAGCCTGTACAAGTGAACTTCAGATCTACCCTCTGCTTTATTTGAGTGGACTCCACCTGAGTTCTTATTTTGCACAGTCTTTGGATCCCAAGATCACCACCACTGTCATCTCTTCCTCCTTATCGCATCCATTTCTCCACGGCGGCTATATTACTGTTGTGTATCCCCAAATTCACTGGCTTAACACGTTTTCATTCAACTAACCCTGTATAACATATTCTCATCCTCCAATGTTCACCTTTTGATGCTACCATTCTTGGGCAGTTTTGTTTTGTGTGTTTTTTTAATATATTTCATTTATTTTTCTACAGAGAGGAAGGGAGAGGGATAGAGAGAAACATCGATGACAGAGAAACATCCATCAGCTGCCTCCTGCACACTCCCTACTGGGGATGTGCCCACAACCAAGGTACATGTCCCTGACCAGAATCAAACCTGGGACCCTTCAGTCCACAGGCAGAAGCTCTATCCACTGAGCCAAACCAGTTAGGGCCTTAGGACAGTTTTTCAGTATGTATCATACGCCATAAAAATTGTCTTACTGTTTGACTAGGAATTTATGCTATGGACATAGAGATATGAACTAAAAATATTCACATAGCATTTGTAATAACTGGAAAATGTAGGAAACAACCTAAATATCCAATAGGGGGCTATTACAGACAAGGGATTTATTCTGTTAGTGGAATCTTGTGCCACAATTAAAAGCATGGGTTAGCCGAGACCGGTTTGGCTCAATGGATAGAGCATGGATAGGCTTGGGGACTGAAGGGTCCTGGGTTCGATTCCGGTTAAGGGCATGTACCTTGTTTGTGGGCATATCCCCAGTAGGGGGTGTGCAAGAGGCAACTGATTGATGACTCTCTCTCATCGATGTTTCTAACTCTATCTTTCTCCCTTCCTCTCTGTAAAAAATCAATAAAATATATTTTTTAAAAAAGAAAAGAAAAGAAAAGCATGGGTTAGCAGATTACCCAGTGGCAGAGGGAAATAATCACAGCATACTGCTAAGCAGAAAGAATGATTTCAAAACACTGTGTTCAGTGTACAATGTGAACCCCATTTTGAAAATATATGGGATAGAAATATATTGAGTTTCCTGATGTAATAAAGTATGTACACATAAATATTGACCTATAGGCATACACATGCTAGAAAAGCTTCAGGAGGACATATAATTAATGTTGATAGAATTGTAGTTCTTTCTGTTCCATGTATTTTTTTATAATGAATAGTTATTGTTTTGAAGATGAGAAAAGGGACGGGAGTTGTTCTTATAGAGAATGTAGATCTCTTACATAGGCCTGCAGTGTTGAAGGGAATTTTTATAAAAAGGTGGTAGTGGCCTGGAGGACAGGCTGAGAGCACCTCGATGGAGGAGTGGCATCAGGAGAGGGTGGAGGAGTGGGTTGCTTGGAGGGCATGATCTAGGCCGGGCCTGGGGATGTTTCCCCATTGCTGGGTGAGAATCTGCTCACTGAGAGTGTCAGTACTGCTGAAAAGGGAAGAATCCAGAAGCCAAAGAAGTGGGTGCTGTAGGGCTGGCACTAACAATCCAGATGTTCATTATAAGGGCATCATTGTCCCAGAAGGGTGAGAGAGCTGAGAGCTGTCAGCCTGTTATTCGCTGCCTGTTATTTTGCTTCTGTCCATGCTTGTCCTCTGGTCTTCCCTGACTTTTTTCTGCTGGTATGCTTTCTACTTTTCTCTTTTTCCTGCCCCCTCCTCTTGCCCAAAAACACAGAGAGATGAAGCCACATGAAATGGGGAGGAGGAAGAATCCGGATTAGCTGGGGAGGGGGAGGGGTAAGCCCTGGTCCTCTCATCCTTGCCATCACATGCCCCCTCTAGCCCTGCCTGACAACTTTGAGTTGTTCCTCCACTGCCCACCATGGTGCCTTCAGTCCACTTAGTCAAGAAGGGGAGGCCAGGTATGGGGACTATTTAAGTCAGTCCCACAGCTGAGCCCATGATACACTCCAGGGAGATTACAGTTCCTACTCACTGTGCACCCTCCTCACTGTGCACCCTCCTCACTGTGCACCCTCCTCACTGTGCAAACCCCTCACTGTGCGCCCCCTCACTGTGCATCCTCCTCACTGTGCACCCTCCTTACTGTGCACACC